TCTTATATAGACAACAAACACGCGCCAACCAAACAAAGTACGAATTACGACCATTGGATTTATTCTCGCACTACGTGCAAAGTCCAAAAATTTCGGCAAGCGCCAGAACAGCTCAATTCACCGATTCTGGGGCTTTATGTAGTACACAAAGTGATTTGCGTATATAGTTATACATATTGGGCAGCGATTTGACCCTAATGGCGCCATGAGATGGCGCTGTTCGCGCTTCGCGCGGATCCGGGCTGCAGTTTGTCTAGTATATCCTGCATGTAAACTTCTAAAACAATTAAGCTACATAACACTGTGCTACTGCAAACACATTGAATTCAAATCTTGCAGCATAAGATATTTAACAGGTCTTATATACTATGTGCCACGTGTTACTACTCGAAGCTGCCAGCTAAGTCACGATAAATGCTTTTCATTTATTCAGATCCAGGATATTTATTTAATATACCAATATTCCGTGTTACTACAGACTATTCAATACAGCAAGATCAACCGAACAGTAGCAGCTTAGTGGTTAGCATTGCTGATAGGGTCTATGTCACCCAGGGTACTGCCGGAACGTACCCTGGTACTAGATACTACTATCTAATATGCCGGACCGTACCTCGCCTACTCCACTAACGAGTCTAGTGAGTCGCCTACGCTTACTCCCTAACCCTAACCATATCAGCTAGATAGTTACCAGGGTACGTTCCGGCAGTACCCTGGGGGACATAGACCCTATGAGCGTTAGTATTAGTGTTAAAGCTATTTGCACTATAGTTTTATGTTTTTAATATTTGTTTAGCCACCTTGGTAATAGAATGAAGAAGACCAGTATTCGGTAGCACTTACTTAATTGACCAAAGGCTTTTTGAGATTTCACGAAATAAAATATTGAGAAATATATGATTTTGATCATATATTATTTGTTAGCTACGTGGTTGTTGGTAGATCATTTCAATTGCACCGTATCACATGATTTGCACAGCTTGTTGCATTTGTCTCCCTGTGGCGTTTTTAAAAGATAAATTTTGTTTGCACTGCCAATAACAGTGATGAAAATTAACACTCGCCCAGTCGCCCGAGGCGAGTAGAAATAATGTTGGGCCCCAAAATTTTGTCAAAAAGTCGCCCGAAACGCGAGGGTTTCTTTTTATAGTTAAACATACAATAATCAGTGGAATCACTATCAGTGCTATGATTACGCCATTACAATTCGCTCACCATTTCCTACAATTTTGATACATTTTTTGACCACTAGAATGAAAACCAATTCAATCTATGCTGCTAGGACTAGAAGGAACACGTTGATGCACGTTCATGGGGGCAGGCATTTTACATGTTGATTCCCTGGTGAAACGTAAACCGGGCTCTCATTGGTTCAGGGCTGGGAACTCAGCCAGTGAGAGCATGTGTTGTACATGGTGTTCTATCTGACATTGCCGCGGATCATTGGGAATGAATGTGGGTTGTAATTACTAATTAGTTAACTAGTTAGTGTAATAGAGATCAGTGGTTGTAACATGGTTGTAATACAATCCAATGCAATCTAATAAAAATTGTGATCAATACTAAATAAAATATATTTAAAAAAATAATTAAATTTTGAATAAAATGCCATAAAAATGCTGTCCCTGCCAATCACGGAATTTGATCCATTGCAAGTAATAAATTTATGGAACGAGCAGGGTGTCAGGTCAAGAAGGCCGACTTTTAAAAATACAGATAAAATGCTGGAAAAAGCATTGGAAATTGTTGAGAATAATGGAGCTGATGACAGAACAGGGGATCAAACGGACACGATAATGACGGCTGATGATGATGAAACAGGAAATGACAATGGGGACTGGATGGACTCTGACAATGACATGGAAACTGTTTTAAAAAATGATTGAGTAACTACTCTAATTAATGGCGTAATAAAAACAAATGTAGAAATTGTTGAAGTACTTCTTTTTTACTTCTTGTCACTAAGGTATAGTACGGAGTCCCCTAAATAAATATTTGTATTTGCCACTCGTCGTGCACGTTTCATCGGACACCACCTGACTCTGTCGTCCTATTGAAGTGACATCATGTATTTTCATAGACTTTGTACCGTTTGCAAAAAAAGACTTGCAGTTCTTTTCTCAAAAGATTTGCTCTAAATCGTCATGCCCGGTATGCATAATAGAGCAATATCCAAGACGAATCCCGAACTTCTGCGCTTCGCGCCATAAGCTGGGCCCCTAAAATTTGAGCTGGGCCCCTAATATTTTTACTTTAGGGGCCCAGCTAGCTACTAGTACTACAAGTTTTTATCACTGCCAATAATATGATGAAACTACTAACTAATATGCAGATAATTTACATTGATTTAGACTAATAAATTTAAAATCAGCATGGTCGAGTATAAACATACAGAACAGGTATTTAGGATTGTACTGGCGGATATGTTCGCCTGAATAATAAAATATGACAATCTAAAGAAAAACATATCCTATCTTTTGTCCTGTGTGGATTTTACTATACTTAATTTGTAATAGGCACTGTGGCTAATCTGAGTAAACAGATTATTGCCCCACACACATATGTCGCTACTACAAACTTTGAAGTCAGCCTATATCATATCATATGACATATGTTGCTAACAGTACCACCATGCCAAACTACTAACTATAGCCATCATTTGAAATACAGAGGACGAAAATTGCAATTTTAACCAATAAATTAGTAAATGGCTCATTGCAATCAGCTGCGTCGTGCACCAATGAATGAAATATGACAAACGATCAACCAAGACTGACTGACAGAGTGTGTCAGTCATCTTCGTTACCAAACAAAACTGGCCATAAACACACCTCATCCAGCCATATGCCTTCTCCTTCACGCGCCATCCTGGTTTATACTGCTTATCTTTACTGGTAACTGGTAACATGGTTATTTTACGAGTTAAAATACACTAAATATGTTAAAGTTGACGATATGCTGTCAAGTTGGCAAGGCGGAAGCGGATATTAGTAGACGTGCTGTTTGAAACATTATTCGTTGCACAATATATTTTTAAATCTATTTAACTATTTATGATGATATAAAATATTTATGCTACGATTTCATGTCAAAATTTCAGTTTACACAATTTTTGTGTAGGTTTATAAATATTAAAATTTATCAATTTCAAAGAGTTGTCTTTTGATCTGAACAATCACCTATTTTTATCACACCAAGAAACATGGCAGCTCCCATGGTCTAACTTATTTTAGTAAAGTCAATTATATAGTGTGTGTATGTAGCAAAGGCAGCCGAAATGAGTGAGAATCTTCATCGAATTTTATCAAAACGCTTTTTTGGTCTACAAACTAATTCAAAAATGCTACAACTCTTGTGTTTACGTGCTGCTTTTAAGCAAGCGGGGGCCTCTGCCCAATGTGAATGTTTTTCAACTTCAGTTAACGAACTAAACAGTCGTATACCTAAAATAAGCGAAACAGTCCAAGCCAGTGGAGGTTTTCGGCCGTCAAAGGCACTAGTATTAACAAAATTGACTCGCTACGAGTTCGAGAAACGACGGCACTCTGCATACAGTGAACCTCAGCTGATACGAAACGTAATTATCCAAACCGTTGACGCTCTCAATGTCGTCTTCAACTCTGGCAACGATCGCTCTACTACTCTACTACTACTCTACTACTAGTACTACTCTTCACCCCATCGCAGATAGAGTTACATGCCAAGCAAGGCCTGTACTGGTATAATGAACACATATAACTAGTAGTGGTACTAGTAGTACTAGTACCACTACTAGTTATGTGTGTTCATTATACCAGTACAGGCCTTGCGTGGCATGTAACTCTATCTGCGATGGGGTGAAGAGATATATAGGTAGTGCTAGAGTAACTTTAATGGTGGGCGATGAGTATAACCAGTATTTATGATGAGTAACCCCCAACAACGTTAGGACCCCTGTTTCACTATTATCATCATCATTATCATCACCACCAAACCTTTTCACCATAACCCTGAGCCAACTCTAATATTAAGCGTGGGGGTCCAAAAATAAGATTGAATCTGTCGTTTATAGTTATGTATGACAGGTTACAGCAACTGTTTGGTAGTATTTCATTTATTTGTTACACACATTAACATTGCATTTTATATAGAGTTAACATGGTGTCTTATTTTTAAATCTATACTATATGCTATCGTTGCTGTGAGGGAGATCTTGCAATTGCTTTTACCTTTTGTTAGAAATTTAAATATGTGGAGGCAAAACCCTTTTATTCATAGGTTTAATATGCAGTTAGTGACTTTACGAAGATATACAGTAAATTACATGCAGACTACACTGTCTCTGAGCTAATTAAAAACATCAACCATGTGTGTATGCTGTGTTGACGCCATCGGCAGATGATGGTGGAAATAAATAGCCAAAACTTGTAAAAACTACGCGTTACATCAAACACGTCCTATACCACCAGCAGGGAGCGGTCGAGAACATTTTATTATTCAACAAGATAGGAGTCGCCACAATACCACGGTACAAGTACAAATGAAAAGATAGGTGTCACCACCTTACAAGCCTTAGTTTATCTCAACACCCTAGGGGTGTAACGATATACCGGTATATCGGTATATTGCAATATATTTTGAAAACTCGATATATCGCGATACAACTTCCGGATATCGATATTTTACGATACGGTGGTATAACAAGAAATAAATTACTTGACACTTGCCTTTATGTCTATATTGTTAATGGGCTCGAAAATTATGCACTGGCGGTGTATATATTACGAAAGCACAATGCCTGCACGACGCATACAGTATTACTGGTAAGCGACCACTGCATGGAGCACTGCGCGGTACTACTGCGCGGGCAGAGTAGGGCAGACGTGTGCGCGAGGCAGAGAGCACGGCAACTAGGGAGTCTATATATATAGCCTATGCTCGCCTGAGTGCCCGCGCGCGCGCGATACAAGCTGAAGCGACCCACCACTGTTTCAGTTACAGTTTCACTATCCAGTATTAGCCAATTATGCAGCAGGGGTATTGTGTATTCCAGCTACGTCAGTGCCTTCCGAGAGGGTATTCAGTACAGCGGGTGACATTGTTACGGCACAGAGGGCTGCACTGTCAGCGGAAAACATTGCCGTGCTTCTGTTTCTCAAGAAAAACATGAGAAATTAAATCATGTCATATAATACAATATATATGATGATATTAAAACCATCAAATTGTTACTATATCATGCATGGTATACACTTCCCAATACGTATTGGAAAATATTGCAATACGGTTTTGTCGTATTGCAATATATTGCAATACGGTTTTTGGTCGCAATACTCACCCCTACAACACCCCCACTTAAACTAAGGATAAACACTCTTTTAAATAAAATAAAATATTGTTGAATATTGCGTATACACAATGTAGTGTACACTTACTGTACAGGTTTCCCCATAAGGTTGTTCCTGAATTTGTTCAATTTAATCTTAGAAGCTGGCTTTGTAAGCACATCTCATCTGCAACATTATTTTCAGAAGAAATGTGAAATAGATTGATCACCTTGTTGCGAACTTCATCTCTGACAAAATGATATTTAATGTCTATATGCTTTGACCTTTGGTGGTGCACTGGAATATTCGCAAGTTTTATTATCATCGCCCAGGTTTTTACAGAGTATCTATAGGTATAATGAATAGTGTGTTGTTTGTTTACAGCTAGAATCCAAGGGATCTGATTACAAGAGTTTACTTCAGATACACAATAACCACCAGAGGGCAAAGGACATTGTCGTTGCCTGCTTACAGTAAGCCAGCAATTTTGCGTAATCATCAACAAGGAAACATTAATCTAATATCTAACATGTACATAAGGCCACAATTAAAAAAATATTTGTTTGCCCTCACCCGACTCAGGCTGAAAAGTTTGGATAGGTAGGTAGGCTTTTTTTAATGGGTGTTTTTACAAATTCAGCATGGTGTCTACATGCTCGGGTGTGCTTGTGTGGAGATACCTTTATGTTGAATGATTGTTTTGCTTGGTACATATAATGTATTGCCTACAGATGTATATAAATTATAATGCACAGTGATACAATTTGTATTAAAAAAAGATATCAATAAAATTGTTTGAGTCGGGTGAGGGCAAACAAACAATATTTTTATTATGGCCTAAGGTATTGATGTGTGTAACTGAAGCTAACTAAAGAGGGAAGGTAGCATACCGAGATGGTTATCATGTCAAACTGTTAGAGAAAATAGTTATAAGATATGTACACATTTGAAAACCACTGAATGTCATGACTAGTTCTAAGACATATATTTGATGGTAATCAATACCCTGTACCTACTGATGGATATTCTCCCGTGTTTTATAGGAAGGAAGGTATTGAAACCAGGGTTGTGTCTAGATTTGGATACGTTCAGGAGGCCATTGACTGGGCAGATGTGGTATTTACATCAGGCGGAGATGGAACTTTTCTTCTGGGTGCTAGTAAAATTCTCAGTCGAGACAAGCCTATTATAGGTGTCACATCTGATACGAAAAGGTACCATTTAACATTAGTTAAAAGTAGTTTTTTTATACCTGAATCAATTGTGTGGTTTTAACAACACTGAGCATTTTCCTATTCTACTTCTGAAAAAAGAACTGTTTTCTTCATTTCGAAAGTTTCGACAGCTCTCTGTGATATTTGCATAACAGCATATTTGCATTAACCATGATTTCACATTTAGATATTTATCAATTAGACAATTTAGCTGATAAGCTGTGACTTTTCCTTCTCATTCCAGGTCTGAAGGAAGGCTATGTCTCCCCAAGGCGTTGTCTGAAAATTTTTCAGAAGCCCTTGCAAGACTCCTGAGAGGTGATTTCAAGTAAGTGAGAATATACCAACCTGAGGCATATATAAGGTAGTATATATCTTTGAGTGATCTCGAGCTAATCTTTGACCTATTTACAGCTGGTATTCTCCCCACCACAATCAGCAGCAGCTATGGAGTCGATTTGCTGCCAACAGAATGGAGAATCGTGTCGTACGTTTTAGTCTGTATCTCCGGATTGTGGGTGTATACGAGGAAACAATTTTGCACGATGCTAGGCGAATGTACTGTGTACGCTTTCAACTCAAGTTGGTTGCGTTACGCGTAGTAGATCATAGGTATTCTAAGGCTAGTAAATGACGAATTTCCCTTGTCTATTAAAGTCACACTCCTTCCCTATTATCTACTTCTGATATATATATATAATGGTTCATTAGATTCAATGGCGCAATAAATAATCTGCTATGTTGTCTTTCTTCGCTGACAGATGGCAGTGGCGTCAGCGCATCCGTCTGACGATGACTGGCCGTGGCGTGAACATCGTGCCGATAGAGTTCCACAACCATCAGCTGAACATCCCCGAGCTACGATACTTCGAGCACATGCGCGAACACCTGCAGTCACTGCAGGAGCAGGAGGAACACGAGGGCGCACCAGTACCATCGACGAGCGTCGTGCTTCCTGTTCGCGTGCTCAACGAGGTCTTCCTAGGAGAGTCGCTCTCCTCGCGGTGCGTCCGCCATCTTAACCCCACGCCGCGCATCGAGTTTTATTATTTTAGGTCGCGGAGAGCGTTTGACTGAAAAAAGTCATTGGAAATTTTGGTCTGATCATAGATTCGTGATGACAATGAGTTGAAATGATGAAATTAAATTTACACTAGTAATGTAATTTGTTTGGATGTTTAGTAAGCTGCTGGAATATTTAAAGTGAAGTCGCATATTTGAACATCAGTGGTAAATGTGTGTTGTGTAAATCATTTTATTTCAACCTTCAAATGAACGCACGCTCAATATTTTATAAGTCACTCTAATCATTCAAGATACTTCACTTTGCTAGACAGCACTAACAGTTTATAAATTGGGTGCGTCCGTGTGTAAATGAAGCCTGATTTATTGATTGATTGCTTTATTGACTGATTATCGGTTGATTTATTGATTGATTGCTTTATTGACTGATTATCGGTTGATTTATTGATTGATTGCTTTATTGACTGATTATCGGTTGATTTATTGATTGATTGCTTTATTGACTGATTATCGGTTGATTTATTGATTGATTGCTTTATTGACTGATTATCGGTTGATTTATTGGACTCATTTTCCCGAGTATTTAGTCGTTCCTTGCTGTTGCCATGCAGGGTGTCGTATTATGAGGTGAGTGTTGATAACTGGCCAAGTATCAAACAGAAGAGCTCGGGGCTCACGGTTTCCACGGGAACGGGCTCATCGTCATGGCATTTCAACATCAACAGACTCACCGCACAGAGTGCTGAGCAAATACTGAGGATCGGTAAGCAACCCGGCAACGATCGATAGAAACGTACAAACGTACATTGAATGTGGTTTGTAATTTTTTATCTAAAAGGAATTTATGATTTTTTTAGTAGCTTAATAACGTGGTTCAGGTTTACTGATGTGAATATACCCTCTGATTCGAGGTAACATGCGTCTGTGTTTACTGAAGCTGCTGTAGATATCGACGTTTGTTGCCTCCACGAAATGCAATTAATTGTCATGTTTCCTGTGAATTCACTCTCTAATTATATATATCTTCATCTTCTCTATCCATTGAGTGCAATAGAGTTAGGAAAGATGCGTAATGCCGAAAATGTGATTATTTTATTATATAAGTTAGTAAATGACAAGACAGTCAGAAATGGCATGAAATTTTACTTCATTATCGAAGAGAAGTTTGTTTTAATTGAGCGCGTTATTGTTTTCTGTAGCGTGCAAGGAAACGGGATGCGACATTGATTTTAGCAACATAGCGTTGGTGCAGGGCATCTGCCAGAAGTTTAATGACGACTTGAATTTCGATGCTGCCGAGCCAAGGATGGCCTACACAGTCAGAGATCCCATTATAAACTGTAAGTCTGTGTAGAAATAATCCTATTACCACATCAGAAGTACAAAATAGATATATTTATGTATATTATTTACCTCTGATTGCATGTGTGTGTTATGTCTACTGTTGATATTTTTACATACACCAATCCCTTGTTTAACAGGAATTTATTATAATGAAAAACTTGAAATTAGAAAACTAAAAAGATTCCCATCCGTGATTCGTGATTTTTCAAACACAAAGAAAACTTATAAAACATAACTATACTCTTTATAGAATTTAAGTATACTGTCGTATGCAAGTGGTGCCCTGCAGTGGCAGGAATGTAAGATGCCACTCGTGGTTTTCTGTAAAATATGAGTGAGGTGGAAATCTCCAGTACTGTGCTGTGACGAATTTTCTGTGAAGGATTTACAAACATGTATACTGCTTACCCATGTTAGGAAACCAGAGCAATGTAGTTGGAGAGGCCATATGTTCCTCAAATGGAGCCGAAAAGAAAAATATATATATTACACCACTGTGGCTTTTGTTTCTATACTTACACTTTCTATGCAAAAATGCAAAAAAAATTACTTAATCCCAGGCAATTATCTTTTGAGCATCGCAGCCAGGGTGGGCAAGACAAGAACATTCATTACTCAGAAAGACTTTTGAAATGTGTTACAAATTAATACCAAGAAAAAACTCATAATCTTCAACTTATGTCAAAACCATACTGCTGCATGGTTTGGAGATGAGAACAATTGGCAAAAATCCTGAACAGAAATCCAGATCTTCTTAACAGCTGCTTAAAAGGAATCTCATGTAACAGTTGGCCTGGTAAAACCACCAACGATGGCATGAGCTATAGGGCGAGAACACAGGATGAGAACAGATAAACACGTTAACCTTAAGGAGAAATTGATGGTTAGGCTACGTCTGCGAAAGTCAATAACAAACTTCGTGAGGAATACCTTGACATAGAATCCTTGGGGAAAGAGAAGCAGAGAACGTCCCAAGGACACCTTAGAGACGAGACAATGAAGCAGAGCAAAAATCAATCAGCCTATCCTAACTGAGTCACGACAGGCGTGAGATTGTAAATGCCGCGTGCACAAAGGCGGGTGTGCTGAGGGACTTACGTGGAGTGATAGCCTCAACTGAACCGAATAGAAAACTGCCTCGGCATGGCAGCTTCGTGATGAAAATTTTTGAAAGAATGCTCCTTAAGTGGCTGGGGGTAATATAAATAGCATCGTTGCATGTTCCTTTTATGAAATCCGGTAGTGAAAAGTAACGAGCGAGAGAGCTCTAAATCCGAAAAGTTCGTTGCAAGTAAAGATTAGCTGGATGAATGACAGAGACGACACGACATACACAAGATGCAACTGAAAGATGAGGTAGCCAAGAAAGCTGCATATCCTGATCATGAATCTAACATGATTGCGAGAGCTTAAACACCACAATAAGTGCATTAAAGCATACTCGTTTCACGACAATATAAACAACCTATAGTACAATATATATATATATATAATAATATTATGATATTTCATTAAGAAATAGTCATATATAATCAAACCAACCATCCATTTTCCCGTTGCACCGCCCACCACACTCCCCACCAGCCACCCAGCCTTTCATCTTCCCATTCTCATCCATCATCTCCTCCCCATCATCCATTCCATGCTCTTCTCCCATACTGTTGTGGCCGTCCTTTCATGGACTGGATTAGATGCCTTGATGGTTCTGTTTGAATGAGACATGAATTCATGATGCGTATCACTGTGATTACTTATATGGAAGTTGGATGGCAATCGCATGGACTCCCCATGACACATGGCACCAGGCATGGATGGATTCTGGATGGATGGAATGGATATACTGGGACGGTATGGACTTAACCTTTATGTGTGTGGAGGTGTCCCCATGCGGCCATGTATCCCATCCCCTCCCCCATCATATCCGTTTGGTTGCCCTATCCATCCACATCCTCACTCCCATTGTCCAACTTCCATCACTTCCAATGCGCTTCCAAAAATGTCCCTGCGCTATGCGACGTGTAGATGCGCATCTTTGAATGCCAGGGCCACAGATCCCAGAGTGAGGGAATTGGGTATTGCCCACCCATCCACCCATGGGCAATCTCCATCCACGATAGTGTGAACAGGCTGCCGTCGACTCCGCCATAGGTCCAGTCCATCTCCTCATCCGATCCACTCGATCGTTGCATCCATCCACCCTCTCTCTCTCCGCCTCTCTCATCTCTCTCTTCTCATCTCTCTCATTCGTCGATCCTCTTCTTTTCGATTGTTTCTCGTCCTTGCGGGGCCAATGCTTGTTGCTCTCTCTACTCTTTCGTCTCTCTCTCCTCTCTCTCTCATCGCTCTCTCTCTCCTTTTTTCTCTCGTCTCGCTCTTATATCTCTCTCTTCTTTCTCTCCTCTCTCGTCTCTCTCTCTCATACTTGGCGTCTCTTTCGTCTCTACTCTCTGCCGGCTTCCCCCATCATGCTCTCTCTTTATTCTGCTTATCTCTAGCTCTTCTGTTGATGACAGGGGATATCACTCCTTTCGAGTTATTTCTGGCCTGGTGTACCCTCTCTCGTCTAAGTGTGCTCTTCTTTCTTTCTCTCTTTCTCTCTCTCTAGCGGTGCGTATGAACTGTATCACACTGTCATTGTCGTTGGAGGCTTCATTTCTGGCCTATGTCCCTTCTCTACTATTTGCCTTACTTATTGTGGCGTGGTATCTCTTGCTTATAGCGTACTGTCTATTGAGCGCCCTGCAGTGCATGGCATGGATGAAATCGGGATAATGGCATCGATTTTAAAGATTCATATCGTAATCTCGACCCCCTTCGTGTTTATGCCTATGCAGCAATTGGAATCATGTATTTGAGTCGTATTAGCATATCTAATGAGACAAAAGTGCAGTGTGTGAAAAAGCCACAGACAGTGATATGGGGATTGATCAATATGTGAACCGGAGTGAGATGCGATATAATGACATTGAATCTGCTATGAATGAGTTTAGTTAGAGATGATTTAACTAGATACGAGATACCACTAGAAGAAATAGGCATAAAAGTTATATGTAGTTATGTAAATGAAGTGTATGAATCAATTATATGTGTAAGCAGTATGTATAGATAACACACATAGAATATATGGAACAAAAATTAGTGTGTGGTCGCATATTACATAAGATAGTAGATCTTCACGATAAAATAGATAGATAGATAGATAGATAGACTAGATGATTAGCATAGATAGATAGGAAAGTAGATAGATTATATAGTATTAGGATAGAGAATAGTAATTTAAAAGCACTATTTCACTGAGATCCGATGGCATTATAGTAGACATATGGAATTTTAAGGTTTTCGTGGCTTTCTGAAGAGAATATTGGACCAAAATAAATTACCATGGTATTTGGGAGTGGTGTGCAATAAACTGTTCTTGGGAGGATTGTTAGACATAACACAAATCGACATATCAATTCATTTTTTTCGCGAAAAAAAGGATGGATGGGTGTATCGTTTCTCGCTATGTCAACTAAGGGATTGTGGTCGTTAGGGTTAGATATATCTGGTTTGTTATCTCTATGTGCCGATCATTTTGATACAGCTCATTTGTATTTGTAGATTTGCTCACACGATAAAGGAAATAACAGGATTGTGTTAAATATGAGTTGTTTCGTGGATTAAGATTTCACATGGATTAGTGGGCGGCCATATGCTTATATGGAGACTTATCTATTGAATCATGGAAGATGTTAATGGCATGCGATGGCGTCCCAACTTACGACTGAATATGGGTTAACATTATATATATGTGTAAGTATGGCAGGCGCTACGTCAGATGGATGGAATGGATACATTGACATGGGAGATAGGCTATATGGGCAGCAAAAATAATTATTGCGTGGTGTGTCTTCACGGGGATTTTGGTTATGGTGTGGGGGGGCGGTATCGAGACGTGGACCCTTCTAGCATAGAACCCCTGAGACATCAACGCACTCCATACTATGCTCATCTGTGTACTATGTGCTCTAGACGCGTATAGACTAATCCAATACATGACTATACAGGACAGGCTAGTAACTGATACATAAATAGTAATCAGCTCACGTGTTAGCATGAGCAAACTGACACGTTTACAACACTTATATCCGCATACGTAACGCACAGCAAGCTAGGCTGAGTGGCATTCACGCGACCAACAGCCATTCCACTATCAAACACCCACACATGATCCTGCGCACTGACGCCCACACACGCCGAACCGACACCACTACAATCTGTCTCTTAATTTACGGCTCAAATTGCCGCGCGCATACGAAACTTTCATTTTCTTGCAACTAAGAACTCTCCGTTTACTGCACTGATCTAGACTGTGCATCTGTATCAGCATGGCGACGAGGACACGACACCCCCCCCCCCCCACACCACACCACACACACTGGTGCGTTTGTATCGTATATTGCGGCTGCCATATCGTATACTACGCACGCATACTGTTCGTTATAGATAGCACGCAGCGCATCGGCAAAAAATACAGCAGATTCTATGACTCTTTTACGCACGGGCAAAGTCCGCACCGCACGCACGCACACACACACATACTAGTATCATCAGGGAGTAGGATAATAGTTATGGCGGCCATTGCGTGTTGATGATAAGAGTCATACACCGGAAGTTATAGGGGTGCACCATAGTACGCGAGGATTCTAGTTGATAACTAATTTTTTTCTCACTTAGTCTGACTTCAGTGAGCGTCAATGAGGCTTTTCTCAGAAAAATATAATGGATATTATCACTCGGAAATATAGAGATTATGTGAATGCAAAGTAGGGGGTGTATGATCTTACTCTTCCGCGAGGTATATTCTAAGACTCACCGGAACGTACCGTTTATTTTGCTTGTGTTGTCGGTGGGTTGCGTGGTGTGTGTGGTCGTGCGCAGTGTGTGTGTGGTGTTGTGTTTGCTGTGTTGTCGAAGTAGGGTGTTCGTGTTGGGTGTTTGCGTGCTCATCATGGTGAGCTACAGGGACTCGTCCCTCACGTATGCATGTAGTGTTGGGCGTCGACAATTTATCTTTTCACGCTTCAATTTCCCTCTATACGCCTACTGGAACATGAGCAACTGAAATAGCACTGCCTGTCACTCTGTGTCCGTGTGGTGTGTCGTGCGTCGTGCGTCGCGTAGCGGTTGCGTGTGGTGTGTATGTGTGAGTGTTTTGTGACTGTGTGCTGTATAACTATAAAATTTATATATTAAAATTATAGTAATATAG